AAAGCATGAGAAATGATAACCAAGAGTGGACAGAAACAATAAACCAAAGTGATGATTGCATACTTTATGGTCTTGTGTGTACCAATCACCAATAATGAAGATGATTTCACCGTCAGGCTCTGCGAAAGGGATAGGGATAATGTCCCGGTTATTAATGACGATGGGACCAAAACCCCCGGATGCTCTTTGAAAGTTAAGTGAGGGAGAGTAGAAAAAGCTTCCAATTTGATCTTTCACTTGAAATTGGTAAGTAAAGTTCCATCTAGGAGGAATTGGGCAGTTTGTGCCAAGAACACCGTCTTGCCACGAGTTACGCCGCATTTGAATGCCAGGCCTATTCCAACAGACAAAACGGAAGGAAGCAAGAAGCATATTTATTTATTAGTCGCATATCGAAGATGAATTAAAGGAAGGGACAAAAACAGCTCTTGGTCTAACCAAGTCAAGAGGAGAGGCTCATCCAAATGATTGAAGACGTTAACAACAACATTGAAGTTGGTAGTAGCATTAAGCAGAGGTCCTGGAAACTGCTCATTGACGGCTACAACCTGAATTCAGTCAAAACCATATACTCAAAGTATCCACATTTTTTGACATTTTTCAAATAACACAGGAACCACTAACTGAAAACTAATCGCGATTTTGAGATTCTATCATTTATCAGGTTCCAAAACTACAAAGAAATAGAAGCAACCCCACAAGAAACTTCCAAAAACCTGAGAAATCGAAAACCCTAAACCTGAGAAATCGAAAGACCTAAAAGGGAAAAAGAGAGAACTTACCTGTTGAGGAACGCCGAGAGGGGAAGCAGTGATGTAAGAAACTTTGAAGTCGTAGGAGACGAAAGGGTCCGCCGCGAGAGACACGCCGGAGAAAAGAAGGAAGCAGAGGAAGACAGAGAAAGGACCCATTAACTCTAGTTTTTTTCGTCTTCGTGAGCTAACTCTACGGATTTGACATGATTATGGTGAGAAATCGAAACGGTAGAGAAGACGAAGAAAATGTGTTAAAGTGTGTCAGTGTGGGTTTTTGAATTTCTTACCAGGGTGTGGAAAATGAGGAGGGACAAGGGAGAGTTTTTATTTATTTATGTTAGACATAGGCTTTTCTTTGTCTCTTTCTCTTTCCAGCATTATTCGGATACGGATCTATTCCTCCATGAACTATATTATTGCTATTTAATTATACATGAAGTATTGACACCGGCCTAAACACACATGAATTTTTTTTGTTTTTGAACTTACTACATAATCTTATAAAACTTGGTCAATTCACACAAAACTGTTAACGGAGTCAATTTTCCGTTCACGGGATGAACTCTCCGTTAACAGAGTCTGATCTGATAATTTTTTTTTTAAATGATCAGTATTCATAAAATGAATTAATCTTCCCCTTTGGCTTCCATATGCAATCTCTTCTTCTTCTTCAACGCTTTCAATGGCTTCCGTAAATGTGGCATCAATGCAGCTCTTCTTCCTTTCGACGAATCGATGCTTGTATTCCGACTCTCTCTCGCTACGCTCCTTGGAGTACCCACCAAATCCATGTCCAATTCCAAATCAACAACACCAACAATCTCTGTGAAAACTGGATCGAGCTTCGATTGGAGACAATTTGGGGAAGGATTAATCAAAGTTTCCGCATCCGATCCACCGACTCTGATCAGATCTAGCTGATCTTCAATTAGGGTTTCTCCATACTTTCGTCTAGAATCGCGAAATACACAAACGAATCACCCATTGCGAACGTGTATGTCTTCTTGCGTACTGTATGAGAGAACATTGAATGGTGTGGAGGCGTGTTCTCGATGGTGTAGAGGCGTGTTCTCGATGAGAGAGCAAGCCTTTTTTAACATTTTCATCTGTTGAAGTCGCACATCGTGCTCTGGATATAATCCTTAACACCACCTTCTTGTTCTGCATAAATGACTGAATACTATATATCATTGAGAAGCATTTTGCCCCTGAAAGATAAAGACAAAAGTGTGACTGATATGTTCTTTTGTGATTTTGCAGAATCTTGTAAATAGTTTTGTGTTCAAAGGTAAACCAATGATAATCCAGTTTAAGAGGGATTCTGTAGCAGCTAAGCCAAACGAGTGATGATATATATAACAGTGTTGTTTTCTTGGTAAAATCAAATCTTTTAGAGGATTAGCTACAATTTTTTTTAAGATCATCAATGTAACTCTTGACTCTAATACAAATATCGCTGTCTTATGGCTCCATATGTAAAAATTATATTCTTGTTCGCTCGTCGCTCTTACACTATAATCAAGCA